TTAGCGAAGCCTAAAAAAACCTAAAAATTGCTGGGTTACCCGAAATTATGTGGTATCTTCGTGTAATAGCTGTTGACCGCTTCGACAAACTTCCTCGAGAAGTCAGTTTTTCTAACATGTCTTGCAATATCCTTCAATAAAGAATACCCAGTTTTTATTTGTTCCTTCGTAAGCTTACCTTGAAAAACATAATATAAACACCATAGACGAGTCTGGATCTTACGGCCACAAGAGAAATTAAGAAAATAGCATTTGTAAAACTTCTTACCCAGAGGTGCCTTTGACGAGTCGTATTCAAACTCCATTACATTCTGTTCCATTAATTGTAAATTGCAAATTAAACTGAGCAGGTCCTGAATCCTAACATCAAGCTTCGAGGGCACTGAAGCACTGTCTTTTTTCTTTGAAGGATCTTTATTCACTGTTCTGTAGTCGGACTGAAAGAACAACGCCTCAAACGTTAAAAAACTGCGAATTAAGGTCCCTCCACTCAAATCTGACAATATTTTAGTCGCTGTATATCGCTTAATTGCATTTTATACCTGTATTTTTTAAATTACAATGATATGTACAAATGAATTCAGTAGGGAACTAAAAAAAATGATGTAAGTCAACAGGAAGAAGCACAAAACTTATCATACTACCAAATTGCATGTACCTTATAGGTAGTATGAAATTTGAGCTCATCTTTCCAGAAAAAGAAGTGATAAACAAAAAAACGTATCACTGTTGAGAAAAAACAAAAGTTCTATAAATTTTTTCAAAATTAACAAAATACTTGGTAATTTTCTGATAAAGATGATTTAAAAATGATGAAAGACCAATCACTGCAATGAACAGCTTACAGGTATATAGTCGTACTTGCCCGCCACTTTCTTGAAATGTTTCAGTTGACTCCACTCATTGTGAGTCTTATCAGAAAATTTTCGGCAAAAAATAGATTTTGCTTTCTCCAGATCTCCTCCACAAAGTATGAGATCATGCTGTCCCTGTAAATGTCCCCTTCACTTTTAATGGCTGGAAAATGCCTATACGTAAAATGGAAAACCATAAAGATCACTAATACCTTGTAACCAACACGACCCCATCTAAGCCAAACTGAGTATGCCTTCCCAATATCATCTTGAAGTAACTGAATTATGTAATACTTATTATTGTTATTCTGCGTGTTTGTCTGAAAAAATTAGAATGACGCTGAAGTAATAGCGCTGACCACTTCCCAAACGTAAATGTACAATAATTTTTGTAGAAAATAAGGAGAAATGTACTAGAAAAGCTGGAAGAATGACACTTAGTCAACGTCACTTCAAAGTCAAAAAAAATACATAATCACCAGGCCATTCCAACCTGATTTAGTAACACATCATATATGCTACTCCCCTCCATATAAACATGGGCAATGTTGCATTTCTCCAAGCACTCAGGATCAACAGCCGCTGCTCCTTTAACTAAGACTTTACGTACTTCTGACCTGTCTTCTAAAATTTCACATTCGATTACAAAAAAGAAAGCAAAAAGCCTTCATTGAAAGATACCAAAGCATTGAATAGCTTCAGGATTTGAGAACTGACAGAAATGTAACGAAAATATACTTTTAAAAATAAAAGGAATAACTCATATAAGCCTACTGAGAAACTGTTTCCCTGTTTGTAACCTAACTTAAATAATTTCTGTAACTTCTAAAGTTTCCTCACTGTTAATTAGTGAAAAAAACATTACCAAAACTTCTTTCTTCGTCTACACCCGTCTCTGAAGCCGGAGTTTTCTGAAATCATCTGATAAATTAATAAAAAGAGGATAAATAAAACACTATATGGCGCTCACTTTAGGGATACTTGTAGTCGGTTTCGCCTTCTTAATAGTATAGCTCTCATTAACTGACGAGGTGTTTCTGGAATTCGTCTCCTGTTTTATAACAGCAGCTGCCTTCCTTTTCCTTAAGGTTTTAAGTCGTTCCAGTGAAGGGACTGGTTTTGCAGCGACAGCTTTCGCAGCCTTTGACAATTCTCTTCTCAACTATAGTGCAGAAATCACATAACAACACCACGGGCAATGCACACAAAGAGAAAAAACACTCACCTTATACTTCAATGAACCACTGTTGTTAATTATTGTTTGGTTCTCAAAGTCAGCCATAAAAGCTACTGTTGAGATTTCAACGCTTGAGGCAGCCGAACCATTTTTAAATGCCTCATTCAATTTTGCGACCGAGGATGGACTGAAACTGCGCCACCGTTCTCTTTCATCCAAATATTCCCATGCATAATTCCCTAAACCACGCATCACTGTTGAAATACCTTCTGAACACTCTTAAGCCGCTAAATTAATTGTTCATCAATATTAATTTTTGCTAATTTGAAGGGGTAATGAATTATTCTGAAAGTTTTCTTCAGCGCTAATATGCCTCAAAATTAAAATCAAGAGTTTAGCGGTTAGAAATAAGCAAAAAAATAGTAAATCAAAATACATAAATTTTCCAAGAGGCCGACAAAAACAAACCAAACCTTGCACTTCGACACACACGCATCTGATGGGGCGAACAAATCCAGTAGTCAAATTTCTTTGTTTCATTTCTTGAAAATCAATTCTTAATTTCGACCCTTCTAAATCTATTTCAGCACAATCAGAACCCATCGGAAAGCTGCTAAAAAAACGCAATTGAGACACCTCATCCAAATATGCAACAAAGCTTTCTAATCAGTTGAATTTAAAATTGGTTACTGATTTCATAAGGAAGAGATCATTGTTCATAAAGGCATATGTGGAGACTTTGATCC